ATGTATGTATGTATTTATGTATGTGCGTATATGTATGTATACATATATATATATATATATGTACAAACATATGTTATAAATGTATAAATAAATAAAAGAACATTAAATAAAAGAAAATTAAACAAGTATCCGTGTATATCTAAATGAAAAATAGGAAGAGAGAGAGGGAGGGAGGGAGAGATAGAGAGACAGAGCGAGAAAGAGTGCGCTAGAGCGAGAGTGGGAGCGTGAGGGAGCGAGAGACAGACAGAGAGAGAGAGAGAGAGACAGACAGACAGAGAGAGGGGGGAGACTGGAAACAAGAAATGTTAAATTGATGCTAACGACAATGATACCCGATCGATCAGCCGCAGAGAACTCGCATCACCAGTGTTGACGAGCAGCTGACCGGGAAGCCCGATTGCGGAGCTTGTTCTCTGCATCGGCTTCCTAGAAAGCGGCTGCTTCTCTGCGGCCTCGACAGCCGCGACAGGAGGCGCTGCCTCCTTTGGATCAACCTTCGACGCCATGTGGCGCCGCGAGACGGAAGGCACTGGCTTGTGGTTCTCAAAAGTGTCAAAGCCATGCAGCATCAGATGTCGCATGCTGTAACGACTTTACTCTCACTTAGCGGCCACTTCGCTCAGCTGAAACAGCTGCAGGTAAAGGCCCTCGATGTTGAACAAGTCGTAAAACCTGACCCTCCAGTCTGTTCTGTTCTCCTACGGCGGTCAGCTAAATGTCAGCTCGCAAGTCAGGGCAATTAAAGCGTTTGTACAGCTTTGTCACTGCTCGTATTCTTAGATTTGGGAATGCGGCCTGGAATGAAGGGTTTGCGGCTTCGTTTTCGCAAATCCTGCAAGAACCCACCTGCTGGAAAGAGGAGTTGGCTTCGTCGCCCCGTCCTCAGAAGTACAGCTTCTGAAGCTCCAGAACAGTATGGCTACTTTTCGAGCGATCCTTACTGAAAACATCGTGCTCTCTAGGTAACCTATTCATGGACCTTCCTTGGTCTGAACCCTAAACCCTAAACCCTAAACCCTATTCATGGAGCTTCCTTGGTCTGAGACTGTGAAGGTCCTCGGTTCAGGGGTTTCACGCGCTCGGTTCCTATGCTTGCTTGCAAGTTCTGATGCATGGCAGCTTGTTCGAGGTGACATCCGCCTTGCATGTAGGATCCTTCGGCACCAAAACATGTCAAAAAATCTGTCCGTCTGTCAACGTACTCTACAGTGGCTCCTGAAGCCTTACGTGCAAGGCTACATCTTGTGGGGTTGAGGTCCTGCTCTTCTTTGGTATGACCGGCAGGCACGATGTAAACTCTCAGATAAACAGCGCTGCAGATACAGTGTTCAACACGCATTTCCATATATGCGCATATATATATATATGTTATGTATGTATGTATATGTATGTATATGTATACATACATACATACATACATACATACATACATACATACATACATACATACATACTTCTATTCACACACACACGATCACACATGTATTGTGTAAACATGTTTTTGTTTATCCAGTTGTGTAGCTATTCTTTTGCTTCGATGCATCTTTCTGTATCTATGTCACGATGCGTCTAGGTAGCGCAAGGTTACGCATGATGTACGAGCACAGCTCACCTTCAAATATTTTCAGGTCTCGTCGTTGAATAGGCATCTCCGGTACGGAAGCGGGTGTGCTTCTATTGGCAGCGGAGGGTCGGTTAATGTTGGATGTGAGAGGTTGATATGTGTCGTTGCTTTGTGAAGAAGCATGTTTGAAGCAGGGATCGGGGTGAGACCCTAAACCCTAAACCCTAAACCCTAAGAACGCTTCGGGAAGCCTATGACTGCATTCGTTGTACGGCCTCCGTCACCGGAAGTGCTGCGACTGCCAGAGATTGAAAAGGCGCCTCTTTAGACCTCTGATCTTGGGTGGCTACCACGAACAGCCGAATCAGCGTTTGCCTAGCTTTCCTCACGGGTTTCCGGTGGCTCCGCATGCCTTATGGAAGCAGTACGTACGAAGCATCTTGTATACAAGGGTCACGTGTACCCTTCCTCCTTGTAGTGAAGCCGCCCACCTCGAAAAGAGCCTGACTTTTGGACACTCTCCAAATCGCAGAAACAGGCAGACATCTCCCTCCAAACCGCGACGAGTGAAGTCATGCGCAAGAACCACGCAGGGCTCTGCAGAAACCCCGCGGCCCCTGTCAGTCCCTTCTGAAATTCCCCGTCCAAGCTGCCAAGCTTGGAGTATATCACCCCATACAGCAGGTTGCACGTTGCCTTCCGAGCGATGGGTGTGATTGCAGGGTGTAAAACGCTGCAACAGTAAGTGAGTAAACCAGTGCGCTCGAAACCGCCGCACCTCCTTCCCCTACCCCCTCTATCGTCTATAGAAGCCAGACCCCAAAAAGGATCCAAAAACAGAACCCCCAGCAAGGTGCTCCTGGAATGCCATGCATGGATTAAGACAGGGCGTCATTCAAGGGTCCAGTTCTTCGGATCCTTCAAGGGGTATGCAAACCGATTCTGCGCCATCCAATCACTCAAAGCAATCTTCCGAAAGATCAGGAAAGCTGGGATGTACAAGGGCTGCAGACACTACCCGACCCAGATGCACAGAAGTGCTTCAAACCTTCTTCTTGGAGTGAGATTGCTAGTAAGGTAATAAAGGGCCCCGAAAAATCGAAATGCGGTTTTGGGGTATATACTCGTAGCATTATACAGAACCCTATACGGAAGAGTAGCCATGATGAGTCCGACTTCTATGGCTCCTCCAAACCGGCCCGCAATGCCCAAGTCTAACCTCGAGCTCGGGGGCCCGAAGACGTGGAGCAAAAAAACCAACATCCTGGCTGCCCGAAGACGGTCAGCAAAGCCGTTTTGGGTAGTTCTCTAAATTAGGGTCCCTTTAGGGGTCCTTTTTTATGTAAGAGTGCCGTACGATATTGGCGGCCTAAAGATGGACCCTAATTTGGAGAACTACCCCTATGGTGGCTTAATGGTCTGATCTTAAGCCTCATAGTCACCCTGCACCCTGAACTTCTGAGCCCGAGGGCCCTGAAGCCTAAACGAACTTCCCGGCTTCCCCACCTCATTGGGAATCAGCCAGGCCGCTGTGTGACACTCCTACAAAGCAGAAACTGCTAGTCGTGCGGCTGTGCCTTACCACCCATGTTATGGTTATCATTATCACTCGCATGCTTGCTGCTTGGTCGTATAGCTGTGGTTCAATTATTTTCAGTTGTTGTCACTGTTACTGCCGAGGACGAACATGCTGATAAGATCTTTAAACATATACCGCCGTTCTGACTGCCATTACGAATTCTCTGTTACCACTATCAGGCAGGCCGTTTACGGCTACTAGCACCGCCCATCCCAAAATCTGAGTGTTCAATAATTGATCTTCCTGTGTTTGTCGTCCTATTCTCTGTGCCATGCTGGAGGTTTCTGGCTTTTTTTGGGTTGGTGCTTTAGAAAGCTTCAAGGTTTCGCAACTTGCCGTGGTGATCGGAAGTGGTTAGCATGATGATTATGATTATGAGTTATCGGCTTGCTGTGCGCGTGGATGCTCCGAGAGACTATATGCTTTGATCACCAAAACCAGCACCTCACACGACCACACAAGACCATGCTGGCTGCTGGTTGCCATCGCTGGAACAAGAGCATCGAACAGTTATTGAAGTGCTCGCGAGCATCTTTGCAGATAGTGTGTGTATGTGTGTATGTGTTTGTTGCTACTTGTTGTTGTACCCGTAGACTTCCTGTGTAGGAGTTGTGCTTGATGCAGAAGCTCCTTCCTATGTTTGTTGCTCGTGTTACTCCACTTCCTCTGATGCCTCGCATCGTTGTCCGTGCTCTAGTGGCTCTCCGCACTCGTAGTCTTGCTTCACTGCTTGCTAGATTGGGCGACTTCGTCTTAAGCTTACTACCATACAGCCATTTCCACTGCCACTAACACTGACTCTACGGCCACTACCACTACCACCCCCACGACGACGAGAACCACTGCTCCTGCTACTTTTGCTGTTGCTGCCTATGAACGATACGTATGACGATCAGTCGTGCTCTTCTGCAACGCCAGTTCTGAAACCCACGTGATATCAGTGATATCAGCAGTTGCAATCTGGCAGTGACAATTAAGTTCGGCATGCATGTATGTATGTATATATATATATGTATATATATATATATACATATATATATATAGACATATCTCTACATATATGTGTGTATATATATATATGCGTATTTGTAAGGCACCGCGGCCGCGGCCGGAACCGTTCGCCCTAAAACCGTGAAGCATTCTGCCTGGAGGGCTTGCTCAAACCTGCCCAGAAGGGACTGGCAAAGGATCCGCCGCAAAAGGATGTCCTCCACAGCAGCCAAGCTAGCAGAAAGTGGAAAAAGGTTTATGCTCGTGCTATCTTGCTTACGTGACATGGTGTTTCGCGATGTGTGCCTTGTCTTGTGTCGTCTCATTACCGTTCCACAATGCTTTCTGCGCTTTGTGGTGTTTCGTGCCGCCTCTCTGGGTCGCTCTGCGGTGCTTCAGGATTGCTTGCCGAGGCTATGGGTGCTTGATACATGCTATGACTGTGTCTCCACATGAAAGTACAAGCAAACAACTTGGTCATGAAATCACATGCGTATAAAATACATCTGCACACATCCTGTTCTATCTTGTGGTCTTATGCTTGTGATTGTTGATGTTGTTTGAACCCCACCATGGCTAAATGAGGCTTGTAGAAGGCGACGTTCAGATAGCTACCCCAAATCCAGGAGGACATCGAGATCCCTGCTTTCAGAATCACAGTTAGAGCAAAGCCAGAGCCTGGAATCATGCCCTGTTTTGGGGTTCCTTGTTTTAATTATAGTATAACATACCCTAAGACCCTATTCTAAGGCCCCTACATTACATGGGCGTGAAGTCCCAGAGATCAGATTTTACCCTGCACCCCCGGCTGTCATGTAGCAGGGGTCGGTAGGCGTAGTGTAGCCGGCCTCAAGTTGTTGAAGGCCACGAAGCCAGGGTGGATGCAGCATAATATAGGGGCCTGATAATTAGAATAGGGTTTTGGGGGGCTCCTCATTATAAAGATATAGTATAATGGACCCCCAAACCCTGTTCTAACTATTTAGGCCCCTACATTAACAGGACAAGAGATGTCCATAGTAGTGTCGATTGCAACGAACAGCGGCCAGACAGCAGTAAGGATTGAAAAAGCTCTGATGCTTGCCGTAGAAAAAACGACCACCACACAAAGTATTGCAGCATTGAAGAATGACACGAGCACGGGCATGTGACATCAGAATACTGCGCCAAGTTTGTTTTTGTTCAGTTCCTATATCATACAGCAGCATACACTACTGAATGTGTCTCATCTACGACACCTGCTGCACCGTGGTAGATATGAGGCGGCCAGTGCACCAAAGACACATGCAAAGACACATAAAGCATCGCAAGTTGCAAGTGACAGTGACAGATGAATTGGTCTCAGGTTAAAAGCTTTGCCACCTCAACGCCAATCAAACTACGAGGCTCGGCAAATGAGTCATACATGTTGCGGAAGTTAGCCTACAGTCGTTCTGAATAGCAATAATCGAAAGACCTACAAATCACACGATTGCAATAAGTCGTCGTCATCATCATCAACGACATCATCGTGACCACCATCATCATTCTCATTATCGCCTTCAGAGCAAAACCAGCAGCTGCCGAAACGGAACGTGCAGGAAGATCGGGAAGCGGGCCAATTTCATAGGCGATGCCAAACATATCCAGTGCCCGACCTCGAGAAACACAAGCCGAAGACGTCAGGCAGCTGGCGTTGAAGTTCTCTAGGGGTCCGGCTTCTTAATGGCCTTAGTGTCTCGCCTTGAGGGTCTATCCTCCTAAACCCCAACCCGTAGACCCTAAACCCTATACCCTAAAGTTTAGGGTTTAGGATTTAGGGTTTAGGGGGTTTAACCTTCTAAACCCTAAACCCTAAACCCTAAACCCCCTAAAACTCTGAGATGTGGGCTAAAGTCTTTCTGCTGGAAGCAGTGGTTCCCCTCTCGCGCGGCGGCAGCCACGCTGGCATCGTCGTAGCCTGCAGCTGTTCCAACCCCCGAAGTCTGAAGCCGGAACCCTACCCTTCAAAGGGCTACCCTTGGAGTTTAGGGCTTCTGTAGGGGCTATCACTGGGGTTTGGGGCTTATGTAGAGCTATTCTTAGGGTCTGGGGCTTAGTGGCTATTATTAGGGTGAAGGGCTTATGTAGGGCCTATTATGGTTTAGGGCTTAGGGGCTATTATGAGGGTTTAGGGCTTAGGGCCTTAGGGGTTATTCTTAGGGTTGTGTTCTGTGTATTATACAAAGGTCATACTACTAAGGTCATGTGATGGGTGCGCAAATATACGAAAGCTAATGGGTGAAATTAGGTTTGCACTGCTTGTGGTAGTGCGATTAAACTAAGGGTAGTGTCATGGGCAATGCAGGAGCTCACTTGTGAGTGGCATTCTGTGTGCTATAACCCTAAACAACCCTAAACCCTAAACTTACTATAGAGATTGGGTTCACGGTTTAGGGTTCGGTCCGAATCTTCAGTCACCCGCTCCCCTGGCCTTTTCCAGACGCGAGGTATTGGATCAGGAGCTGCTGGATGGCCTGGATGCATGACCAATGTCAGCCACACGTTGAAACCAAACGCATATCGGATGATGGCTCGATAGTACGATATGAGTGACATGCGCCGTGCACCATGAACACGCAGATCACGTCGTGCAGCGGAATATCTCGCAAATTGAAACTACCTGCAGATTCAAACTATCGTATGTTAGACGAAATGCATATCATATACGGTATTAGCAGATTACATACTTGCCCAGTATATAGGGATTATACTACCCAAAAGCGGGTTTAAGGTTACCTACCTTACGAATTTTATCGGCGCCAGGCCTCCAGGGGCAGCGGGCAGCGCAGCGGCCACTCCTTTCGGATCCCGGCGCTTCAGAGCGGGGAGGCTTCGGGCTTAAAATCTCAGGGCCTAGGGCTTTAGGCTCGGGGCTGGGGTTGGATTTCGGGGGTGTTTGGAGCCTTAGGAGCTTTTGTATATGGCCCGTTGGCACGCGATAGCTCAGATAGCTCAGAGACCGAGGCAGGTCAACACCGGCAAGGGTCCTTGCTCATCTGCTAGATGTCATACCTGAGCAACGCTGATGGCTGCGACGAACCTAAGCACAGCGAAGCCGGAGCTGGCACCTCACGAAGTGCCTGCCGGATCTGCATCGGGCATGCCGCTTGCCCATGGCCGCATGCTCTGATCTTCTCATGCGGAAGCTGCCGTTTTCAATTGTTTGCTGCTTGAGGTGGCAGTGAGAGTAGATGCCTCGCTTCACTTGGTCAGCTTGATCACACTGCTTGCTGGCTCAATTTTCCCAGGCCCGGAACAGAATCGCAACTCCAACAGACTTCTCCAAGGCCTTCACACATCGGGTCTTGAGGGTATTAAACAAGTCTGGCTAGGGACCATCAGGACCGGAAAAGTGTACAATTCTCTCCATAGCATGTAGGCCCCGGGGCCTCCTTGCGGCAGCGGCAGCACAAAGAACTCCGATAAAAGCTGTAGTTACCCTTGTAGAAGCCTAAATCCCTACACCCTTTCAAAACCCGAACAGCCCTTAACTTAAGCCCTAAATACTAAACCCTTAGAGAACACTACACACCCCCCAGCCCTTCCTGCAAACCCTAAAATCCAACCCTTCTAGAACCCTAACACCCCGTAAACACTCATGGCGGACGAGGTGCAACTGGACACTGTGGGCTTTTCAGCAGCTGGCACTCTTGCTCAACAGTAATAGCAACATCGTAATAGTAGTACTGACAGCCGCAAAAGCACTAGCAAAAGTAATGTAGTTAGCAATCCTAGACTCACTAGTCATTGGTAACAGTAGCAGTGAAAGTCCCCACCCATTCGGTTTGTGTTGCAAGATAACTCAAGAACAGGACCCTTACCTGCACCCTCAGGTCAGCAAGATGGAACTCAATCCGGACAGACGCCTGGAAACAGAAATGGCCTGGTGAGGTGTTGTCGCAAGAAACCTGTGTCCCAGTATTAACCCGACCAGTCTTTTTCACCTTACTGCTGTGCGCCGACAGAACATAGTAGAGGTCTTTGCAAGCTTGGACAGCTACATGGCCGTGCTTGCAATGCCGAGAGCGCGTCAGGCCGCAAGCTCCGTGCATGTGCGCAGATGGAGATGCACCGGCTCAGGCTCGTGAAGAAGAACTTGACATCGGGCTGCGTCTCACGCAGCCAAGCAAAGTGCCGTGCTTGCTGCGCAGCAGCACTCGGCCCTGCAGGCAGGTCCGGAGCATCCATCTTTTCAGGCGAAGCCGAAGCCCGTGTAGTGCTCCAATGCAGCATGCAGACGAGCATGCATCATTTCCTGAGACGGTGGCACATACACTTCTCTTCCTTGGCTTCTGAAATCCCGCGTCCTCCGTCGGATACTCCGGCAAGTTCAGCTGATTGATGCAAGTGTTAGCCTGAAGTTTGGCATGTTGCAATTGATCGTAGAAGTCATGGTGGGCCAAAACATGTCTCATCAGATGTCCAACCGAAATTGCTCACTGCTGCTCTGTGCTCCGTGGTGCCCTGACACCGTGCATCATCAGAACCACTGTAGGTAGAAGAACAATAATGAAATTACAAACGCAGCAGCAGCAGCAGCAGCAGCAACAACAACAACAACAACAACAACAACAACAACAACAATGATTTTCCATTACGGTCCCAGTAAAATTGCAATCCTGTATACATCAGGTCCTCTTCGTCTTGCTATCTTCAACGAAACTTGCATTCTCTCTACCACTACTACTATTCCTACCATTAACTGATGAAGAAACATGAATATGAAGTTGAACCGGAATAATTAATTGTGAATGTGAATAATCGGATGATGAAGATGATGATGATGATGGTGATCCTTACTAGTGTTGTTGGCACTACCATGCATGACAATTATGGCCGATGAAGGCCATTCAGGCCACTATGTTGAACGGACCTGCCCTCCCTATCCCCCCCCCCCCCCCC